CAGTGCCCAAACACCTCTGGGGGAAGAACCTTGTCCTGATCTCCAACCTAACCCTGTTCCAGTGCCCAAACACCTCTGGGGGAAGAACCTTGTCCTGATCTCCAACCTAAACCACCTCTGGCACAGGTTGATGCTGTTCCCTCAGGTCTTTGGAGCCTTTTTAGTTAAGAAACCCCAAACAAATAAACAAAAACCCCCTCGTGGCCTCAAGGAAATCCAAGTGTCAGTGATGATTGACTGGAATAGATGTTTAGGCTCCTATGGAAGGTTATGGACTAGTAGAGATGCGACATACTGGTCAAGCTGCTGGAGTGGCAGGTGAGAGCAGTGCATGTGTGGAGTTCCCTCCACATGTGCTGTCCCTCTGCCATGCAGCATATTTCCTTGGGATAGCTCTATATCTTCATATCAGCACTGTCCATGCTGTGAGAGCCTGTACTGGTGGGACTGGGAGCAGCTGGGCAGCCCCTCCAGCAGGTGCAGAACACGTGTCCTGTCCTCTGGGTGGTCATCTGAGATGCTGCTGTTACCTGATAACCCTTACCCTTGAGCAGCTCTTCCCTCAGTAGTTGTCTTTGGCTCTTGTGAACACGAAGAGTCATTTTTCCTTTTTTTCCCCTGTAATTCCAGGTGATTCCTCCCAAGGAATGGAAGCCCAGAAGAACCTATGATGACATAGATGACATGGTGATCCCAGCTCCCATTCAGCAGGTGGTTACTGGACAGTCAGGGTTGTTCACCCAGTACAACATCCAGAAGAAACCCATGACTGTGGGAGAGTACAGACGCTTGGCCAACAGTGAGAAGTATGTTGGTGTGGAGGGGTGTGCTGAAAATTTGGGATGGGAGAGTTGTATGGAAGTTTTTCATTCTAGAAACTAGTTGAAAAGAAAATGGGACCTTGGTAAATAGGAGGCATTGAGAAGGAAGCTGCTTTTTTTTCTGGAGTGACAAACAGATTTGTAACTTACTGGCTTTTGGTGTATCTCAGAACTTTTTCTGGGAGTTGGTATAGAGAGATCCTTCAAGGTTGGGGCCTGGTTGGGATTTCATGGTTGTTCTGGAAACTGGTTCCAGTGCTGAGGTAGAAGTACAAACATCTTGAAGTGCCCAAGCTAATATTGCTGACAGAAGTGTCTTCTTGAGCTAATATTGATGACACAAGTGTCTTCCAAGGGACTGGGAACTCTGCAGAGCACTTGAGTCAGTTGGGACAAGCCAACTGGGACAAACTGCAGTTGTATCCATTTTCCAGAGTCACTTTCCCAGAGCTCTGGAGTCCCTTGGGTTTTAATCAATACTGACAATATGCAGTGATGGCTTTAAGCTGAAGGGAGAGTGGATTTAGATTAGATATTAAAGAGACATTCCTCTCTGGGAGGTGCTGAGGCTCTGGCACAGGTTGCCCAGAGAAGCTGTGGCTGCTCCATCCCTGGGAGTGTTCCAGGCAAAGGTGGAGAAGAGAAGCTCCAGGAAGATCTCAAAGCCCTTTCCAGTGCCTCAAGGGGCTCCAAGAGAGCTGGAGAGGGACTTGGGGCAATGGATAGAGGGAGAGGACACAGGGAATGGCTTCCCACTGCCAGAGGGCAGGATTAGATGGGATATTGGGAAGGAATTCCTCCCTGTGAGGGTGCTGAGACACTGGAATGGATTTCCCAGAGCAGCTGTGGCTGCTCCATCCCTGGGAGTGTTCCAGGCCAGGTTGGATGGAGCTGGGAGCAACCTGGGCTGGTGGGAGGTGTCCCTGCCCATGGCAGGGGATGGAACTGGATGAGCTATAAAGTCTCTTCCAATCCAAACCATTCCTTGCTAAGCAGCTTTGAAATATTACTGGTGCAGCATCTACCTGAGTGCTTGACCTGCCTTCAAATCCCTGTGTAATCTCACGTTTCCTTGGACTGGGGATCAGGTACTTCACATACTGTTTGTCAGTGCACTGAGCACTTTTGTAGAAGGGTTTAAAAGGGAAGAAATGCTCTGACTCTGAGGAGGTTTAGCACCTTCAGTCCCTCCTGAGGGGACCTGAGGTTCATCTGTGGTGGGTGTTCCTTAGGACTGGTTCCATCCCTGTCCCCTCTCTGTCCCCTCAGGTACTGCACCCCTCGCCATCAGGATTTTGAAGACCTGGAACGCAAGTACTGGAAGAATCTCACCTTTGTCTCTCCCATTTATGGAGCTGATATCAGTGGTTCCCTCTATGATGCTGTAAGTGAAATGCTCTTCTTTGAGTTCTTCCTTCTCTAACTTCCTTAGTGCTCCTTTCTTGTTCCTTAAGGGGAAAAAAAAATCAGAATTTCTTTGATTTAGCAACTTAAAAAAGGTTAAAAAACCCCTTTGTTTTTTCCCTCATGCCACTGAACTTCCTCCCTTCCCCAGAGAATCAGGAGAAGAGTCAAGGGAAACTGTGAAAAACTTACTAGGAAAATAGTAGAAAATAGAGGAAAAATGTGATTTAAACAAGTTCTTATGGAGTCTGCAGCCAAAAGTTGTGCAGAGCTTGGATTTTGTTTGCT